CAATGCATATATCTTATAAACATGTAATTTGATTGACATTTGTTAAGTGTTAAGTGAATGATGCAATGATGAGGGGGCTGATGTTCGGGAAGATGGGGAGCAATGCATTGTGGGTTTAGTATGGTTGCAAGATAAGAGACGAAAAAAAATCTTTTGAAAAGCTGACAGTGAGTGACAGATTTATTCTGAAGTATTTTGAAATGTTTCAACATTTATTGTTTGCCAGAACGAAGCACTGTCACTTTTAACTGGAAATTCAATCACTCATTTGAATATGGGGTAGAAGTTAATGTTTGTATATGCACAGCTTTCAAGTGCAACATGATTATTCAAACAAATCTTGTTCAAGAAAAAAACAGGTCAACCATGTCGGCTGGTGCGATGGTGTAACTAATTAAAGTTATTTCTGTTTATTCCAGGAACCAAGCGTGTTGAGTATTTGAGGTTTTCAGATATTAACTGCAGAGCACACTCACATGATATCCCGTGGAAATTAAACAATATGCTTCATTAGGCTACTTTTCATCAGATGAAAATAAAGCCTTGTGAACCTAGAGGAGATACACAGGTGGTTCACATCTTTGCATTTTCTTTAACTTAAAGTTCTTTCTCAGGGTTACCCCTGAAAAACATTCAAATCATAAGTTTGGACCATCGTCTGTGATTCTTCTAGTCGAGCATTAGATTTTTTTTCTCTCAGTCAGTGTGCAATGTACTTTTCAGTCCTGTGTGTGTATGTGTGTGTGCTCGCGTTTGTGTGAACTTATCAACATTACACAATGGAGGTATCCTGAGAGAGTTGGGCTTTTCCTTTTTCCCACAGTTTCACAAACAGTGAGAATGTTGTAGTATTCTGTGGACGAACCTTCACCTTAATCACTGACCTATGTCACTTGACTGATTTTTGTAATATGATTAGTTAGAAAAGAATGCTATTGAATTGCTGGTGCATGTATGGTCACAGAGACTGAAAATGTAATTGTTATGTAATGGCAATTTGCCAAATTTACTTCTTGCAATTGAATCAGCCGGTGCAAATTTCTGTGTCCACATGGTGGCAGTCTGTCATACCAAAAACACATGATTCAATATGATCCTCTGCTGCTAGGGGTCTCTAAATCAAAACATTTACGAAGGGTAACATACCTCTGTTCGGTTCGATGTTACGACCGCGACCATCCCGCAGCGCTAGCCTGTTAGCAGTAGCGGGTAGCATATAGCCTAGCTCCTTAGCCTGAGCTAACCAGGTAACGATAAGCTCTGTGGGCGTGGCTCAGTTGTCAGTCTTCACTCGGCCCGCCTAMCGTCCACTCGCGCGCCTCCTTTTTGCCCATTTATGGGTTAGCCCGGAACTAGGAGGAGTCAGGCCCCGGCAAGATGGCGCTGGGTGAAACGCCCACTACGAGCCTCATTTTCACTCTTCAGAAACCAACGGGTGACGTCACGGACACTACGTCCATCTTTATACAGTCTATGTCAGAAACCAACGGGTGACGTCACGGACACTACGTCCATCTTTATATACAGTCTATGATCTTCACTCGGACCACCTAGCGTCCACTCGCCCCTCTCACCTGGGCTTGTTCAAATGTAAGTTCATATCTTTGCCTGGAGCATGACAATACCTGCTTAATATGTGCAACAGATGGAGGAAGTCATGGGACTCCTCCCTCACATGCAGACTGGTTGATCCTGTCTGTCTTTTTTGCCTGAGTTTGCTTTTCTTCATTTCCCTATTTTATTCTTGTTGAGAATGGCTGTGAACACGAAGCCAAATACTGTAATAATAGGATGCGGGATATCAGGAATATCTGCGGCGCACAGGCTGTTGAAAGCTGGATTTCACAATGTGCGAATACTAGAGGCGACTGCGAGGAGCGGAGGAAGAATAAAAACTGCAAAACTGGGTAAGAAAACATTATATTCACAGTATATTCTTTCAGTCTAGTTTAACAAAATCATACTTTTTTCCTTTTGTCTAACCCTCACTGGTGATCAGCCATGAAGACTGCATGTGAGACCCCCCATAGCCAACCCAATTACCACCTCCCTCATCCATAGGTTTTGTGTTTGATTTTAAATTAAGTTGTACAGAAATTGTAATCAACACACGCAGATCTGTTTTCCCTCTATAGGTAATACCATCACAGAGATAGGTGCAACTTATATCCATGGCCCATCTGAGGAGAATCCAGTGTTTTGTTTGTCCCGGGACTATGGCCTCCTTGACCCAGAGGCCCTCACTGAAGAGAACCAGGCCATAGCTGTTGATGAAAAACCTCGTTATTTACCCAACTGGTTCAGCAGTTCAGGTCATCTGAAATAAAAAATTCAACCATTCAGCAGTTTCAACAAATCATTTTTCCTGTTTTCACTATCTTTGTAAATGTTTTATATTCTGTGTGGTAACATTCAGGTCAGAAGCTGATGGTTGAACACGTGATTGCTGCTGTAGAGATGCATGATGAGCTGATGAAAGATCTTGCACAGATTAAGAACAGGGAAGAAACACCGTGGGCCAGTGTGGGGGATTTTGTACAATCTGAGGTACACGCTCACTGTCAGTGACCGACATTCATTTCCTCACGTGGATATTTGAGTAGTTCTCGATGAAGAACTGATGATCGTTGCATTTCTCTATGCGTGCTCTGAGTGTGTGGTACTTTGTGCAGTTGCCACAGCGAGCAGCCGAGAGGTGGAAAGATAGGGATGAAACCACCAGGGAGCTGTTAATGTCTGCCATCAGTACCCTGATGAAGCTGGAGTGCTGTGACAGTGCCGCTCACAGCATGGGTGACTTGGACGTGGTGGGATTTAATTTGTTCAAGAATCTCACTGGAGTGGACTGCACCATTCCAAGGTCTGTATAACATCTCATTTATCAAATAATGGTTATTAACCATAGACTGTACATAAAACGGTATTAACATATAAAAGCAGGACATTTGCTCAGCCGTATTGGTTTTCTTTGAGGAGGCTCCTCATCATCCAGCAGGAAAATAGGGTTGAAATGATGAGTGGCCTATCCAGTTGACACAAATAAGGTACATTTAGTACAAAGTTTCACTTGAACTCACGGATGACCCTTTTAGACTTGAGCTGCTTTCAGACCTGCACTGAACTCTAGATATTCCCTAAAAAATTATCCGTATGTGAGAACAAAAATGTCTGAGTCAGCTGCTTGGGACATTCTGCTGGCCCCCAAGTGAAAACACCAGCGAATGTTCGAGTGAGCCCATGAGAGAACACAGCAGGAAAATGTCACTGGGAGTAAGTGGCCATGTTGATGACATTTCTAACACATGAAACTGAAAAAAACCCCAAGCGAATACAGATTTCTCAGGATGAAAAAGAGGAGCCATACACATAGATGATTCAGACAATTTTCCACAAATTGTATTTACTTATCTTATCCATGCCTGTGTAGCCCTCCTTTGCCATGATTGTAAAGCACTATGGTTCCTGCTGCTTTAATAAATAACTACATTTTAACTTGACTTGTTGCAGTGGAATGGAAGCCCTGATCGAAAAATTGATGTCAGAGCTCCCTCGTGATGTAGTGTCCTACAATCATCCTGTGCGCTGTGTCCACTGGAACAACACGGGGAGCAGAGAACACGCAGTGACGGTTGAGTGTATGGATGGCAAGAGGATCGCTGCTGATCATGTTATTGTTACAATACCTCTAGGTACCTCTCTGTTTCTACAGTTGTTAATTGGTCAATATTTACATGATTTCAGAATTTCTTATTATATCACAACACAATGGCCTAATATTACCAGATATAAAAAGGGGATAATGTGATATAGTATGTACGTGTCATTTTTTCCCCAGGATACCTTAAGAAGCACTACTCAACCCTGTTCTGTCCACCTCTACCAGTGCACAAGCTTCACTCCCTCCAGAAACTAGGATTTGGAACATGCAACAAAATATTTGTGGAGTTTGATTCACCCTGGTGGGATCCTGACTGTGAGGTCATCTACCTGCTGTGGACAGACGAGGTCTGGAATGGGGCTGTCAACCACGATTAAAAATCATGCTCAGAACCAGTATCTGAATGTTATTCAGCATAACAGAATATCACCCAGTGTTCTGTGATAGTTTGCAACTGACACTGTTAAAAACCAGGCCTCAGATTAAATGGATTTCTTCACCCTCAATTAAACATAAAAAAACCTACCTCTATATGATACCAATAAAATTAACTTAGAACTATTGCACTGATCTATCACCATTCAAAAAAACCTCAACCATGCATGTAAAATGTTCGTTTTAAACCCTGTGTGTCTTCAGGATGATCCCTCAGGGCAGGGGTCAGATATAAGAAAATCCTGGATGCGCCAAATTTTTGGCTTTACTGTGCACCAACCCTCTGAAAGGTTAGTACCATAATTTACACCCAAACGTTCGCTGTATAGCTACTTTTTTTCCATCTATAAAGTTTCCATGGAAGTTCATAGACCCAGAGAGTAATACATTTAACCCTGAATCTCTCAGGAACAGCCATGTTCTCTGTGGCTGGATTGCTGGGCATGAAGCAGAGTATATGGAGACACTCAGTGAGCAGGAGGTCAGAGGTGCCATCACGGAGCTCATCCATTCATTCACACGTAAGTCAACGTGAAGAGAGAGAGAGAGATCAAACAATCGTCATACAATCAGAAAAAGATTTCAGTTTAAAAGATCAGAAACTAGTGTCATTGATATTTATCACTTATTATATTTTTACTATCGAAAATACAGGTGAGCAAAATCTTCGAACAAGTTTTAGCAAGCCAAGAGTTTGCCTGCCAGTTTGGCATGAGCAGGCAAACCTAATCTGTCTTCACTGGAATTAGTTATATGTATTTTACAGTGCAACGATTATAAGCTTTTGACACATGAATACCTTTTATGTGGATTATAATACAAATCTTGGATTGTTGTAAAAAATACAACTGAGATGGAAAGATATTAAAGGGATAGTTTAGAGAAAATTCACTCATTATCTACTCACCACTATGGCGATGGAGGGGTGGATGAAGTGTGAGTCCACAACACACTTCTGGAGTCTCAGAAGTAAACTTTGATGCAGCCGAATCCAATACAATTACAGCCTTGATGGGCACGAGCATGACTTAAAACTTTAAAGCCGTTTTTTTAGACAAAGAATTGGTTCAAGACTTTTGCATTTCACACACAAACAACACAGCTGGAGATTCTCTACTCAGACACGTTCACAGAAATATCTGTAACATTCAGGTGAGGGGTGAAGCAGCAGGCCTGGATAAGTTGTAATATAATAAATCAGCTGTGGGGATCACAATTAGAGAATCTCACTATGTTATACACAAGGAAGTGAAGATGCTAATGTGAATAATATAATCTGGTATTAATCTATTCAGTTTTAACAGTTGATACAAAACATTTTTAATAGTGATCATTGGTCATTTGAGGACGGTCCATGTCAGCATAACTGTGTATAATCTGTGTATAGGAAACCCCACCATCACTCTGAGAAGAATCGTGTGCACAAAGTGGTTCCATGACCCCTGGACATGTGGATCATATTGTCACCCAGCAGTAGGATGTTCAGCAGAGGACTTTGAGAACATGATGGAGCCACTGCCTTCGAAGGGAACACAGTCACAGGTACAGAGACGAACAGGATTTAGTTCAGAAACTAACACACATTTCAGATATAGACAACCTATGGTATAGAGGTGTCAAAATGTTTTTGGGTTTTTTTTAAATGTAAAAATGTGCTCCCAGATGGTTTTTGCAGAGCACGTTGAGCAAGAGTTGAGAGTGAATTTTTGTTTGAGGAGTGTAGCTTTTACAAAATTGGAAGTTCATGTTTCCATGACTAATTTGAGCGTGTCACAGCCCCTGCAGGTGTTGTTTGCTGGAGAAGCTACTCATCCTTGCCACTACTCCACCATCCACGGAGCTCTTCTCACTGGGTGGAGAGAAGCTGATCGACTGATCGCCCACTACTCCACCATCAGTCCTTATTAAACACATTCATATTGTTATCTGCATGTTATGTTTTTGGGTCAAAAATGAATGAAGGAAAAAAATAATGCAGTAACCTGACATTGTTAAATGAGTTTTCCAGTGGTGGAAGAATCACAATGTAGTGGAACATGGGTAATGTAATGATACATTTATAATCAATAGTAGGAATGTGTTCTGTGTTCAGATGGTTCAGTTTAATGTTCTGAGATGAATAAATATGACGTTTACTGTTTTATTTGGGTGTTTTTTCAAGGTATCACAGTTAGTTCAGCCCATGGGTTCAGCCACATGTATGCACTTTTAATTTTAACCCTTTTCTTCCTGCTCCCTAAAAGTCTTTTATTTTGAAATCACTAACCGGAAAACATGATGTAAATGTGTACACACTCCGACTGTAAAGGAAGAAGACTGAGCACGTTCGTGAAGAGTGGACCGTAATGGAGGCAGTGAGCTCTAGCACTAAAATAGTTATAATAGGATGCGGGATATCCGGAATATCTGCGGCTCACAGGCTTATTAAAGCTGGGTTTCACAATGTGCGGGTACTGGAGGCGACTGCGAGGAGCGGAGGAAGAATAAAAACCGGAGCCTTAGGTTAGTACAGAAAGTCCAAGAGGCCAAAAAGGCGAGCAAACTCAAGAATGTTACTGATTAATTAGTCGATTATTTTGACGATTAATCGATAAGACGGGTGGGCAATAAAACATGGAAAGTTTCCATTATTGTTTTGTATGATTAAATGTCCAAAGAGTAAAATATGTCCTTTTTTTCCGAAAACAAGGAAAACCAAGAAATATTCACATAACAGGTAAAAAAAATAACGAGCAGCTGAGTCACCAGATATGAAAATCATAGATGTGATGATAAACCTGCACCACTGCAACAGTTCACTGTTAATAAGCCAGTCAGTCATCTCTGGTTTTTACTTTTTGTACAACAGGCCTGGACAATATAGCCATCAGTTATATCAAAATGAAACTCTTCATGTCAGTCGATATCAATAATCATCATGAATAATATA